GAAAGATCAAGCAATATTTTTAGTAAAAAAAATTGAAATGTAAAAAAAGACCTTACCAATCAAACTCTCACAAAACCTCTCTTAGACACTCCAAAGAAAGAAAATTGTCACTCAACACTCGTGTTTACACGCAGGACTTATTATGGTTTTTTCTTTTTCCTCTTCTATGCTCACACTCTCAATGTGTTGTTTTCCTCTCGTCATCTTTAGTATGTCCTAATAAAAGTTTACTCAAGACTTTTCAAGGTCTTAGTACTTTGTATGCGTCGGCTGTAATTGGTTAAGGTGATGGAAAACAAATGTAATGTAATAAGGTGGTTTAAAATAAGAAAAAAATAAGAAAAGGGGTTACTTATAACAAAGTCACTTTACAACCTTTCTATCACCACAATCAATTAGAAATGTTTACTTGACTTGCTTGGTGATGAGAACTTATTGTTTGTGCTTTAAACTTATTTTTCTTTGCAATTTTCTTTTTCTTTTCCCTTTGTTTTCTTCTTGAGTGTTTGTAAGTTCTTTGTTGATTTTTGAACTTTCTTGACTTGCACTTCTTTTTGTATTTTGGATATGTTGTTGTTGTTCTACGTTTATTCTTACACCAAAGCTCCAAATATCGCTTGATGTAAGGTACTCATACCTTTAATTTATTGTGGATCTAGGAAGGAAGCAAAACAACCTGCAAATAAGTGAATGGCTCAAATAGAATGGCTTGCTAGTTGTTGTAGATGAAAAATGAAGGGATATTTATGATATGAGATTGGTAGAGGAAGTATGATTGTTATGGCAATGGTTTGAGCTTATGAAACAAAGAAAAGGATATGATAGTATCTTAAATAAAGTAAGGAAGAACCAGTGATATAATAGAGCAAAGACCCTGCCTTATAAGTCTATTTAAGGGGTGGTAGAATAAGACTTGGACCCTCTATCTATAATAGAGATATGAACCACAAGTATCAATGGAAATAGAAGAGGTTGATGCCACAAGCACCTAAGTGTCTTGATAAGTCGATAAAAGTTCAAAAGAACTTGTAAAGAGGATAATCTCACAATAAATTGATTTCAAGCAAAAAATGATTGTTTTTAAAAGACAAACTAATGGCCTATTTATAGTTTTCAAAGGGTATAGGCCGAATAGATACATGATGGTTCGACTAAGGTTGAAACCCCTTTGAAAAAACATGTTTTTAATGAAAATACATGCTCTTGGCCAAATGTATGGTGTTGGCTCGGCCCTAAGGATGTTTTAAATGCATTTGGAAGTTACTTGGCGCCAAAATGAAGAGGAATGAGTCTTTGGCCAAATAGGAAGCATCCCTTGGTGTTTTGGCGCCTATATGATGTCACATGGGGTGCACATGCTTGAATGATGCACATGGTAGCCTACTTGAATACACATGGGTCTTCTTGCAATTCTTTGGTTAGGCTACAACCATAGGATGATGTCTTGAAGTCCATGGGCAGCCTAGAGATGAACTAGCTTTAAGATAAGCTAGGTGAGTGTCTTGGTAGCTAACTAGGTGAGCTATAACTTGATGAACTCAAGCTAGTTTGCTTTGGTCTTCTCAGCTCCTTAGCTAATCTCCCAGCTACTTACAGCTACCTTTAGTTCACTTTTCAGTAATTTGGTCCAAAGCTCTTCTCCAGCTAAGTTCATCTACATTCTAGCTCCTCCAGCTAAGTTGAAGCTCCTTAAGTGATGAAATGAGTTGCCATAACATTAATGAGCTAGTGTGAGCTGCTATGCTTGTCATTTTAGCTAACCAAGCTACCATAATATGCCTTGTTTTATGTTTCACCTATTAGAATCAACAAAAAAATCAAGTAAGCAATGTGTGAGCTCATTTAAGGTAAAATACATGATGTCGTAAGGTTTTTGAGTAATATGAGCTATGAATGATCGTCTAGAAGCTAAGATAACATGTATATAAGCTATATAGAAGGCATAGGACGTTCATGAGCTTTAAGAAAACATATTTGAGCTAGAAAAAAGATGCAAACATGCAAATGAGTTAAAGAAATATAGATGTAAAACTAGTGAGCTAATGTAAACATAACATGAACTAAAATAACATGACATGAGCTAATGAATGAATGAATACATGCTGCCATTATATGTAAATGATATGCAAACATAATAAATGAATCTAAAACATATGTAAAACATAATATAAAGCTAAGTAAAGATGTGGAAACATATGTTATGCATGAAAATCATATAGTATGCAAGTGAATGATAACATATGATTATTCAAGCAAAGTTTAAGGAGACAAATATGCTTATATCATTAAGTGATGCATGTAGAAGATAATAAAGGATAAAGTAAGGAAAAACTCTCTTAGAATCAGCTTTGAATAACATCCATGGTGTGATCAAGTCATGGAGAAAGTTGGAGCTAGTTTGGATTGTATCAACCAAAAGTGTAATTCTCCTATTTCTGAAAAGATAAAGATTTTATATTATCATTTATCTTCTTCTCCTTATTTCATTCTTCTCCATCTTTCCTTCTCACTTTTCCTCTCCAAGAGTCATAGCTAAAGGTGAGTCCTTTGAGCCATTTTATACTTATATTAAGCTTCAATTTTGTTCTTAACCCCTTCAGCAACTTCATTTTAATGATTTAAAGCCTTGAGTTCTTTGTTTGCAAGAATAAGTGAAGGTTTGTCATCCAAGTATTTGAGACGAGTGATAGCTAGCTAAAGAAGCTTTACTTTAGGATTCTTTAACCAAGGTAGTGTATTTATAATCCTTTGTTATCTTATAAATTTCCTAAATGTGATGCATTGTTAGGGATTAGAGTATTTGAGCATATTTGGGGGGGTTTGTTTAATTCATGTTTAGATGATGTTTTTGGTGTAAAGATAGTGTTTTTATATAGCTAAATGACCCTAAATAACTCCCTCAAGCTTTAGAAGTTGATTTGAGATCAAACTAGAGTGTTTAGAATGATATTTTTAGGGTTTCTTGAGCTTATTTCTGGGTTTTCTAGGTTAGGGTATCGATAGTGGACGAACAATACCGATACTAAATGAATTAGAATGATTTCTAGGCATTTTACACAGAGAGTATCAATACTCTAAGGAATCAGTATAAATATTACAACCTTGATATAGATATTGGGGGTAACAATATCGATACTGAGAGTAAAATTTGTAATCCAAAAGCTGTTTTTGGTACCTATACTTAAAGTGGTATAGATACTTGACTTAGGAGTATTGATATTGCATGTAGAGTATCGATACTACTCATTTCAGATGGTTAGATTCGACCTTATCAAGGCTTTCAAGAGTTAAAGATGACCCGTAATGGTGAGACTTAGTTTGTGAGGGACTTAAGTTACAACCGAAGTAACCATATTAGGTAAAATACTTATGAGTATATTCAATCAAACACATATTGAGTAATCGTGAATGAAGGATCATTCCAAAAATTGTGCCAGCAAGTGAGACAATGAACGATGTGACTAGCATGATAGAGGAAAACGAGTACTACGTGGACACTTATAATTAAAGATATGTAAGTTTCTATACTAGTTCAAGGGTGAACCGATGAGAAGTGTGATGAGAACAACTGGGGAGTTGTTTTCAATAAACCATTCCCGAATCGAGTGTTGAGCTAGTTATAATATACAAGTAGGTAGCAATGAATACGAGTTGCCTAAAGGGCATAAAACACTAAAATACTATTAAGTTCTTGCATAACGTTCTAGGAGAGATAACAAAAATAGTAGTAAGTGGGAGCGATCTCACCTACTTGTGTTATAATTGATAATAATGACAAGATAACCACGTGATAACCATAAAAACCTTATGATGTAATATTCCATAAGACTTATGCCTTTGTTTGCACTTAGAAAACGATAAGGACATCCGAGCTACTTGTATGCATGACGATCATCTAAAGTATATGTATGTATAATATTTGGATATATCCCCATCAGTGCTAAGGCACTTTAGTATCAATGCTAATGCACTTCCATATTAGTGTTGAGCTACTTTAATACCAGTGTTAAGGCACTTTCGTTAATCGACGACAATGCCACCATATATAAATATATATATTCGATATTTTGATGTCTCATGCTTATTGCATTATGTTATTGTTTGGTATTGCGGTTAGAGACACAATATATGTAAACTCATGGCGAGGCTCTTAGTAGAATACTAAGGGAAACATATGGCTCAAACTATAGTGATAGAACTATTGTATCTTACATAGGTAGCACTTGATTAAGATCATGCATGTACCTATTACTTATTACCCTGTCTTCTAGCATGCTTATGTTTTTTAGATTCATATGCTACTCTAGATTAGTGATTATACTGCTAGGCTTTATATGCTTAGCGTTTGGATGTTTTATTTTACAGGTTAGTATATCAAGTTGTTTGAGGAGCATTGTTGCAGTAGGATTTCCAACATTCCTTACAAAGTAATGTATGGTTACTTGTAGTGAGCATGTGCATTCATAGAACCCTTAATTATGTATTTGGAGTTGTAAACTTTACAATATATTAATTAATTACAAACTATATGTCATAAAGCTTCAATTTATGAAAAGATTGTATAACCATTTTGGATGTCTAGTTTGGTAATCATATCGTATTTTTAAATGGAAAGAAGAATCAGATTTTTAATTTAACAAGTAGACACCTTGATGATTCTGTGTAACACTTAGATTACTGGATTCAAGTCGAATTCAGATCTGGGAGTTACAATCTTTTGATCCTCAAGCGGATCTTAAGAACACTTCAAGGATATTCTCAGGTCGAACAAGATATCATATTATTCAATTTTTTTTGTAGTGTGGTTATATAAATTAATGAATATTTTTTGTTTTTGTTAGGATTCCAAACCATTTATTAAAAGAAATACACATTACTTTTTAATTATTTTTTAATTATAAAAAATCAAAACAAAATGTAACCATTCATACAAATGAAAAAAAATTAAAAATTGAACAAAATTTATCATTTCACAACATTTCTTTCCTTTTTCTACTAAAACTGGATATATCTTTCTGTTTAAAAAATATGAACATTTGGAAGGAAAAAATACTTAATTTCACTCGTTTTCTTCTATTTAGTTATCATTTTAGTCCCTTGCAACACCAAATAATCGATTCCGAACCTTCCAATCCGTTTCTTCGATCAATTCGTCTTCAACCGTTGGAACGCCGTTGTGATCTTTAATAGGGTGGGTAAGGTCGCGGCGGATACCACCCAGCTTAAAAAAAATAATTTCATAAGATTTATACACATTATAAAAATAGTATCCAAATAGTAAAAGTATTGTATATTTAATTTTAGTCAATGACATCATTTAATTAAATTCACCTAATATAATTAAACTAAAATACACAAATGATCATCTAACTATATAGTATTACTTTATTAAGTTCTATAACTATTAAAATTTACAAAATGGTTCATACAACTATAAATTGTTGCTTTGTTGAGCCCATCGACTATTAAAAGTTATAAAGTGATCATCTGACTATTCATATATTCCAACTCATCCTTTTCCGTAAAAAAATTGACGGTATTCTGAGATAAACGTTAATATATTAAATGTGATATGATAAATTTTGATCTTAGAATCTCAAACGATTATCATATCCTAGTCATTATGTTTATGTCCAACTTCGACAACTGTCAAATTTTAATTTGAAAATGACGAGTTTGAAACATAATAAATAGTCAAGTGATCATTTTGTAACTTTTAATAGTTAAAGGACTTAATAAAATAATATCCTATAGTCGAAGGACCATTTATGTACTTTGCCCATAAAATTATTGTGTATGGCCCTACGACGTTACCTGGAGCAGGATAATAGTGTGACGTCGGTGGATATGGGCCCGGTGGAGGAGGATATGCACTGTATGGGTCTGGTGCAGGATGATACATGGGTGGAGGATATGCGCCGGGATATGATGGAGCGGGATAACCAGCCGGCAGCGCCGGACAAGGAGTTGCAGCGGTTGGTGGTGGTATATTGTATGCAGGGGGTTGAGCTGCTGCTGCTGGATATGCTGGTGGTGCTGACGGTTGATTATATCTTGAGGCCTTGTGCTGAAAACAATCCAAACAATACATTTATACTATACGAAATTATTATTATTATTCTCATATTTTAGTATATATATATATATATATATGTATATATATGTGTGTGTGTGTTTTATACTATACGCAATTATTATTATTTTCCTCATATTTCAATATATATATGAGCAAAACTTGATCTTACTAAATATAAATTAATCAGATTTTTTAATAAAAAAACTGATTAACGCATTTCAATTTTTGATTTTCGAGTACAAATACATATTTATTAATTTAAGAAATTAAAAAAATCAAAAATTAATTATTTTATAATGTAATAATTAATTTATTTTTAATATTTTTTAATTTAGTCTATTAACTTTAAATGTTACCTTATTTCTTCAATTACTTATTTGTTTTAAGTCCATTTTGATCGAATTTAAACCACATGCTCCACAATCATCGTAGAATGTATGTGTAGCTTCAATTCTCATTATTAATACTAGGTTTATTTTTTTATTTTTTTGCAATTTAATACAATTTTATTCAATTTAATCCTTTGATCGGCTTTTTATATAAATTTTTATTCTCCAATTCTTTTGAATTCTTTATACTCTCATCAATATATTGTCCTAAAGAATCTCTTACTTAAAAACAATCTTATGAATATATTTTATAATTTTAGGGTTATTTGATTTATAAAATAATATTATAAATCTCACTTACACATTTGAAAAATAATATGAAAAAAATTATAAATGTATATCTTATATGATTAGGGAAAGTTATTTAAACTTAATCAAATATGTAACATAATATTATAAAAAAATACAATTAAATTTAAAGAAAACAAATTTGATATCTTTAGACTCGACTCGATCGAATACTCAATTACTCACCTATATATATTAGCAATAAATCAATTTATTTGATAATATTTAATGAAAAAAATGATATTTTTTTATAAAAAAAACCTTGAATGGTATTAATGAGGATAAACTCGTAGAGAATAAAGTTGTAAAGCAATAGATGGACTTACTCTAGCATTCGGATAATGCATTATCAAATGTACTTCTCCTGCAAATCTGAAAAAATATTATATTTAAAACCTTATATTTAATCTTTATACTTTAAAGGTTGAAATGGTGTTAATTCTAATGATGCGAATGATTATAGAATGACATCTCAATGAAACTCAAACATATCAAATTAGTATATTTTAATGAAAAATACTAAGATTTTGATAATAGTTACCTGCCGGTTTTAGTTTGGAGGGGCCAAAAGTTATCATCAAAACCATGAGAAATAACTTTGCGCAATTGAACTCTGTTCAGAGAAAATAATAATGGAATACCATAAAGCAAGATTAGAAACCCTAATCCCAATTAAAAGAAGCAAGAAATTTTATGATATTGTTGTTACCTTACATATCCAATGAAGTCATCAATATGTAGAGTGTTGCTGTTCCAAACCACTGCATGCATCTCTTTAATACCCTCAATTAGGGAGAAGGTGAACTTCTCTTGGAATATGGGCATTTTCCCACCATCTAGAAACAATACCCAAATTATAAATCAAACCCAGAATTCGATGGATTTCAAATTAATCGATTTTGAGCATTACTATTTATGATAAAGTACATAAATAGTCTCTCGACTATATGACAATGTTTTGTTAAGTCATCTGATTATTAAAAGTTATAAAATGATCATCCGTCTATTCATATGTTCCTAAATCGCTTTTTCATGCTAAAAAATTAGTAACTGTCTAAACTGTATGTTAATCTCTTGACTAGGATATGATAAAATTTGATCTCAAAATCGTTTGAGTTGTATTTTATGGATCAACTCTCTATTACATTATATTGTCGAGTTACTGTTTGAAAGCAACAATGGTGCCAATAGATATTATCAAAATATGATTTTTATCATAGATGAGTATTCAGGTTAACGTGCAACTCAAATGATCATCATTTTTAATGAAAATGACGAGTTTAAAACATATGAATAGTCGAGTGACTATTTTGTAACTTTCAAGAGTCAAGAGATTCAACAAAACAACATATTATAGTCGGAGATTATTTTGTAACTTTTAATTGTCGAAGACTCAACAAAACAACATTCTATAATCAGAAAATAATTTTATAACTTACATAGTCGGGGACTCAACAAAACATCACATCGAGGGAGTATTTGTGTACTTCAGCCTAATATTTATTTGTCTTGCACCATGTAATCAGATATATTTTTTGGGTTAGATAGCGTTAGTTATTAACTTCAATTTTAATGTAATTAAATTAGATTTTTATTATAATTTTGGTAGTAAGGATTATTTGTTAATTGAATTTATTTGATACATAAATACGTATTTTTATTAAAGTAATCTTATTGATTAAGTTTTTTATGATCAAATATTTTGACCGAGAGAATTATTTTTGAGATACAATCAATTTTAGTTTCTACAAATTTTGAGATTTACATTATAAAGATAACCTTGTAGAGATATTGGAAGACTAAGTTGAGATATTTCAAATTTGATTTCTTTATTTATAGTGAATTACTATTCTTCTTATTAGCATATATAAAAGATAAGATAAATTATGTATTTAGTATTTAAACTATCAGTTTTAGTTCATTTAAGTACCTAAACTTTTTATTTTTTTCAAAACAATACATAAAGTTTAGTTTTTATTTTAGTACATATGTTCAAAATTTACGTTTAAGTTTGGAAAAAATTGAAATTTTAGATACTAAAATAACTGATAACTTAGGTACTAAACGCGTTATATTTTTAATGGTGGGCACTAAAATAAATTAAAAACTAAACACTAAGTATGGTTATGAAAAAATTGAAAGTTTAGGTACTAAAACGGAATAAAGATAATAGTTTAAATACTAAATGCTTAATTTACTCTAAAAATATTATTTTATATAAATTTTTAAGAGCGGATTTCATTAATATGTAAATTTATTGTAACAAAGACCCCTAAAATCTAAGAAAAGAAACCCAGGAAATGCATATCAACAAATCAACATGAAAGCTTGATGAATCAAGAGAGAATTACCGGTGCAGGTTTGCGTACGGTACTTGGAGCTACCGTATTCAAGGGAAACGTAGGGATCTTGCCTCGAAAGCCATTCAGTATCCTTCAACTTTTTACACGCCACAACTGTTATGCCCTCAAGAAAAAACCCCAAATGAATTCAACGTCAAAACAAGGTTACAAAATTTGATCTAAACTCGAGAAAAGTAATTACCAGTAACTACGAGAATCTGGCCTTGAATACCCGACATGGAGACTGAGAAAAGGCAGTAAAAAATAGGAAGAAAACGAGTGTTAATTATACACCCCCCGAAACTGTCGGGGTATAATTTTATTACTTTTGATTTGAAGGTATTAATGGTGGAAGAGAGAATTTGATTGAATTTAAAAGCAGTTGTTTCTTACATTTTGGTGCTGAATCTTTCAAACCAGCTAAAATTGTTCGCCGTGATTGTATTGAATTTCCTCTCATTTTGCACCGAAAACTCCTCTCCCTTTGACCAAAATCCCCACTCAAAATGGTGGAGGAAAAGTTTACAGAGAGAGAGAGAGAGAGGACGTTATTTGGGCTATCGAGAGTTAATTCTATCCTACACCCCTAAATTATATTCAATTTAAAATCCAAAATATATATGTGATATGTCTGATCATATTAACACTACTATTAATTAAGAAAATAGTGAAATGCATAAATATTTATATAATAAAGGTAAAATTATGATTTAATCCCGATATTAAATTTAACTTCTCAAAATTAAAAAAATGGCTGTCCCTTTTTCCCATATGTATGGGGTAAGGGGAGGTAAGATAGTAGGCTACCCCCAACACCAGATTGAGAGCAACTTCAGTAAGAGACCTTCGAATTATGAAATGCCCTCCGTGAGACTCGATCCCACGATCTCAAGGTTAAGAACCTTGTACTCAACCAACTGAACTGGATGGTCATTTCTAACTTCTCAAAATTAAGTTACATATAAATAAATTTTTTGTTCTTGTTTGATGGAATTTAATTATTTAATAATAATAAAGAAACAGAATAGAAAAGACGGTTTAAAATTTTAAAGCGAAGATTGTTGCAATTTTGTAACAGGAGCCGTGACAGTATTTTGTGATATACAACAGTTAATTGACTGTAAGATAGGGTTGGAGAATTATTCACTTTCATAGTCTTCTTCATCTCCAAAACTGAAAAAAGATGCGTCAGCTGCCATTATCTTGAATTCACTTTCCGAGCCTGAACCTCAGTGCCTGCAGCAGTTGCGGTGGCTGCATCTTTTATAGGGTTACTAGTGGTGTGCGTCTGTTGGGCGTTTGCACTTCCTAACGAAGCTTGTTCGGTAGAATGCACTAAACTTGTAACTTGATCTGCATCGGTACTCGTTTCAGATTTGGTGGTCGTGGCTGAATTTTGCTGCCTGTTCGTTGACGAACGAGATTCTTCCGCCTCACCATCTGAGAAGACATCATCTTTGTTGTTATATCCCGGGTCTTTATCATTGCTCGATGGGGCTGCTGCACCTCCATTAGCGGCTGAAGCACTGGTGCCTGCGCTTTCTTCTGGCTTATTTGAAGCTGTTTTGGTTGGTGGCTTCGACAGAACAGGGTCACTATAATCTACTAGCACAACCTCAACTTGGAAACCAGGTGAAGGTAATTTCCTCTGCACACATTATCCGAATGAGGCGATAAACATCAGAGAAGAATATATTTCAACCAGACAAAGAAATGGAGATCACAAGTCATTTTGACAGAACAACATAAATTAAATCGTCTCGTCATAACATTTTCATGTTTTACCTTGTCAAACCCGTCAAGATCACTGGTTTTCAGGATTGTTCTGTTTTCAATTATTGTTGTGTTTAGCCAACTGAGTTCAAAAGGACAGAATCACAGCAAAATCAGTTAATAAATATTTGTTAACAAGCTAATTTTTACAGAGAGGGGGCTAATTACAGACCAGTAAAAATCTCCTTGGCGATCATGAAAATGAATTTTAAAGTCTCCAGCTAACTCAGACAGACCAGGCTCCCCAGGCAAAGCAAAAACCATAACTCCTTCGGTGCGCTAAACCAAAAATCTTCTGGCTGTAATTACATGCACAAAATTTCAAATTGGTACAAGGAAGCTCTAGAGATTCAAATGGAAATTTTCAAAATACCATAGGCGGCGATCAGACTAACTAAAATAAAACCGAACTTACAGAGAGATCATTGGTACGTTGATGATTCTTTGTGGAGAAGAGAACACCAGCAGAAGGAGAAAGTATTGGAGCTCATGATGATTATACAGGCTGAAAGGCACACGAATTTTAGGACAATACAATGCTACAAGTGAAAGAATGCATCTGAAAATTTAATATGAAATGATGGCTCAGAGTTCTGCAACTGCCTGTTAAAGCATTCCAACCCAGGCCCCAGCATTACCCATGAATTTCCATGTTTTCTACCCCTTGGATTACGTAGATTAATTCAAACTGAAAATGCCTCTAATGAGCTGTAAGCCTGTAACTAGAGACAAGACTATCAAACTGTGGGTTTGCACCTTAGGCATAAGGAAGTAAATTACGCCAATTATAGCCTTATGAGATTACTCTCCTAGTTGTTGTCAGGAAGATTCAAACATAAATTAAGAATTGGAGGCTACGACTAGTATTTTAAACATGACTAAGCCAGTATTATGCCCTAAACCAGTAGCAGTTAATGGCTTAGTACTACAAATGATTATGATATTCCTACGACTGCATGCTACTAAAAGCTTGGGCAGAAAACCTCATCTTCATGTCCATCCATAGGAGTTAATTTATTCATCAATAACATCTTATGTGTATGAGAAACTCCGCGTATATAACAAAAAGAATCACCAATCATTCCTTCAAACAAAAGATGTCATACCATTATGATCAGACACTGTAATGGAGGGCCTGATCCAATAAGGACAACGAAGAAGCTGGAATCCTCTAAGAATGCACCTGTATAAACATAATGTCAGCACTAGTATAAAACCAAAGATAAAATATAAACATTGCATTGCCAGAAGAATACCTGCGCCCACGCTGGTCTTCACCATTGAAACATGTTAAGATGCGTTCAAAGTACTTGACGTATCTCTAGAGAGCATAACAGGAAAATATATGGCAATCCGACATGATATAAACAGCTACTAAAACCAAACCCAGAAAACCACTAGAAATAAACTCCTCACAATTTGACTTGGCAAAACGAGCCCCTTTCCATCCACACATCTTTTCTGGTTGTAGTAGTCCATCGACTCTTCAGCAGTGGGGAAGAACTGCAAAGAGATAACAAGTTAACAATTATTGTGACCAAGAAATGTGTAGCTATATTAAATTTACTCCCATTTCTTCAAGAAAATGTTCATTGGGTCGAACCTTCAAGTACAGAAGGCTGGACTCTGGAGATCATCAACCCTGTTCTTGCCATCCCAGCTTTACAGTGCACGACCACAACATTCTCAATATCCTCCTTCAGCCAAGAGTAATCACTTCGACAAAAAGATATTATCAATCGAATTGGGGGGCAATTATGGTCATCAAATGGGAAACTAGCTACCTGAAGAAAAAGTTCAATATCAATTGTAAGATGTATAATTTTATTTCATAGGCCATCTTACAGCAAGTTTCAAATGGGACCAGTAGCCGGCCCGAGAGGATGATCAGCCACACTGGGAATGAGACACGGCCCCAATGGGGGATTTTCCGCAATGGGCGAAAGCATGATGGAGCAATGCCGCGTGGAAGTAGAAGGCCCACGGGTCGTGAACTTCTTTTCTCGGAGAAGAAGCAATGACGGTATCTGGGGAATTAGTTATCGAAACGATTTTTCTTAAAAAAACAAATTTAATTTTTAAATGTGATTTTTAAAAGATCTCGTCTCGATTAATTTGAGGTCTCCTTTTAAAATCAAAATAAAACATAGTTTGAGGAATCACCACCAATCTTTGATTAGGGTGTGATTGAACACCCAAAAACGTGCTTGTCATTTTAATAAAAATATTAATTTTAATTAAAACAACAATTTTACGGTATGCATTACCAAAATATGAGTTCGAGAATCGGTTACGGATGGGGAAGGATTAGCACCCCCACAACGCCCTAAATCGGTACTTAATCGATTAATTAGTTGTCATTGCAATGAAATTTACGAATTCGAGTTTAATTTAATTCAGGATCTCTGTAAATAATATTCTTTGAATTTTAGAATGAAACAAAGTAATGTTTAATTATTTCTTATCGAGTGAAGTAACCTCTCATGCCTTAAAGCAATCACTTCATACTCCAATCGAAATAAAGAAATATTACAATTTCATTCTAAAGTTCATTATTAATTTTAAATTCAAATGTATAAATAATAATAAAAAAAAAAACAAATTAAATTTAATTTAAGATTTCTTTTTAAACATGTTTCTTGTAATTTAGCACAGAAAACGAAAATATTTGATTATTTCCTATTGAGAATAAACGACTTCTCATGCCTTAAAGCAATCAATTCTTACTCTAATCGAAATAAATAAATATTACTATTTTGTTCTAAAATTAATACTAGTTTGAATTCTATTTATTTTGAGATCCAATATATATATATAACATAAAACAAAAATTAAATATATGCGACAAACAAATACGATTAATTAATTATTTACCAACCTTTAATGAGAATAAAGATGTTCAATTATTTAAATACATCGAGACGAGACTTTAGATTCGATCTAACAATCATTTCTCGGTGAATTTAATTAAAAGAACATAATTTTTTTCTCAATCTCAAATTTTTAAACGTGATTGATTTTATTCGTTTCACTTGACATGATACCCTTTTATTTTAATATTATTGAAAGCAATCTCTTATTCTTTAAGACAATCACTTCCTTTAATCTCAAAATAAACGGATATTCTCTTAGTCAAATTATTTGATCAAATCAAAAAATGTTTATGAGGATATCATGCAATTTAATTTGAATTAGAACATCAATCTTATATGTATATGCATTACATAGATATAATACTATATAATACTTAAGAATAAATCTATTCATGAAATATGTAATAAAAATTAATTTATCCATTACCTTAATATATCAAGTAAATAAAATAAGAATTAAAAACAACATAAATATAACTTTTATCATATACGTGTAATTTATATAAATTTTAAAAATATTAAACACAATAAATTAGAAATACAAATATTATAACATAGTATATATCTTAGTATAAATGTAAATATATATATATATATATATATAAACATGTTATCCTAAAATCATATAATATAATAAATTCATGAAATAGTATATAAATCAAATATATAATTTTATAAATAAAAAATAGAAACTTAAAAAAATAACAAACATGGCAATGGTAAGGATCAAAATATAAATAACCTAACAAACAAGGACTAGGAATAAAAATAAACTATAAATATTTATGACTAAAATTTAGGACTAAAATAAAAGTATTTACAAAATTACATGCTAAAATTATAATAAACAAATATAGATAAACTATATGGACCAAAATGTAACACTCCTAAAATAACAATGCAAAATCATAAACAAAAAAAATATGAATAGGCATTAAAATATTAAAGTGCGTAAAATAACAATACAAATCTCAAAACACTAAGAAGCTTCAAAATGAGGACTAAATTGCATTAATTCAAGAACAGATGGTAATGGGCAACAATTTCTCCAAAATCTAAATCATTAGACACGTGCGGGACTAAATTGAATTACGCATCAAACATCCAAGGACTGTGAAAATAATTTAACTATTTACTAATTACAACCTAATCCTCCTATAAATAGCCCAAAAATATGATTTTTTTTCATTTCACCTTCGTTCTTAAAACCAAACCTCAAAATTCTCTAACCTCGTGAACCCAAATCTTAGGTCCCCTTTGCCTAGAACCCAATCTCGGAGCGTAGATCTACAAAAATACATTTCAAAAGTTTTGAACTGCGATGACTTTTAGCTTCCCTATGAACCCCAAACCAAGTGCAACACCCCAACCCATACCCGACCCGAATACGAGTCTGAGGTGTCACATTGACTTTTCAAACTTTGACTCTTGACAAAATTCAAGGAAAATTTAAAATTTTCATTAAAATAAAGGTAATCTATTTACATAAATTAACCAAAATAACCAAAATCTATTAGAGCATTCATAACTGACACTTTTCTTACATGCCAACACACTATATACGACAAAATATATACTTTATCAGTTACATCTGATCTGATCTTCTAGCAGTGCTGCTGTTCTTGCCACCCTATTTCTGCTCTTCCTGATTCTTGGTACCTACGTGTAAATCACTTACATGCTAGGTCACAGACTTAGTGAGGCATAAATAAACATATAACAATAATATTACGAACAAACATTTCTATCAATCCACTAGGACATTGCGATACACATGTAAATACCACATTATGACATATGAGTAGGATGTGTATGAATAAACAATTATGTTTCATAAGAATTTGCTTTAGTTTATCTTTGGATTGCCCATGTATATTATTGAGAACAGAAGGTACACGAGTACACTGAGGTTGTGCACAATGTTGTCACCACAGCTCGAATAAAATCCCACTAGGGGCACTAAATATTTGTCCCGAATAACAATTGATAATCCCTCGACTCTTGGCATGCCAATTATACCTAAAGCTCTCACATTAAATAACATGGGCTTAATTATAAATACATTTTTCATTTCATATCTCTTTTATCACTGTCCATATAAACACATAAATCACTTCATATGATCATTTTCATTATTTCACATACTGGGAGGATTCTCTGATAATGGCACTTATTCATGCAATATCATGTTAAATCATGAATGAATTATGCATGGAATCACTATAACATTAACACATATATATGTATACATATGCATGATATGAAATCATAAATTCAATTATAAGAGATAGACTTATCGCAAGTCTTATCTCAATACAATTCTATCTAGGATATGCACTCACCTTAGCTTTGCTTGCTTTGACTTGATCATACTCCTTTGATGGTTCCAGAACCAGATTACGTTCTATATCTACATAGTAATACATTGATACATATCAATATACTAATTGATATATTCTAAACTATCACTCTTAGGCTAAAAAGGAAGATATTTTCATCTTTTAATGAAGGTATGCATCGATGCACTCTACAGTGTATCGATGCATTCTTTAACGTGTGCATCGATGCACTAGCTATGCATCGGTACACAAATCCCATTCGATGTTTGTATTTTAAGGGGTGCATCGATGCATTCCTTATGCATCGATGCACTAATGGCATTCGATGTTCATTTATTTGAGAGTGCATCGGTACACATTGAATGTGCATCAGTACACATTGAATGTGCATCGGTACACATTGAATGTGCATCGATGCACACAGCCCATAAATGTTATTTTAGCACGAAAATCCCTTTATAATCCTCTCAACACTTCATATTTCACCTCTTTTTATATCTTTAACTTGCATACACCTATTTAAACTAATTAATACCCATTCAATACATCTTAAACTTAAAAATCCAATCCTCCACATAGAACTCAAGAATCTCCCTCAAATTCCAACATGTTCTAAATCTAATTCTAACACTTCTTATATCTTAATTAAGTCAATGACAAGTCAAATTCAACCTCCGATTCTAAATATGAACTCTATTTCAAAATTCCATTCAAGAACTCCTAATCTTTAAGTCTTCCTACACCCTTCATCTTGTTGTTTTAAAGCAAATTAAGTTTTCCTTAAGCTTAATTAGCATCTAAGGAGCAAAACCAAACTTAAATTTCATCAAACAATTAGCTCATGAGAAATCTCACCTTTGTTTTGACCTCTTCACGTGTGGAGAAATGAGAGAAGAAGAGAACTCTGGAACCTTTTGTTTTCTTTCCTTCTCTTCCACGTGTAGCTAATATAAATATAAGAAATCTTAATTATTTTCCCTTGCAAATGACCATTCTATCCTTCAATTCCATATTCCTTGCAATTTAACCCTATACCAAATTACAATACTATTCAATTATTATTCTTTAGTCACCAAATTCTGAAGTTTTACAATTTAGTCACTAACCCGGTATAAAGGATGTTACAAATCTCCCTCTTAAGAAAATTCATCCTCGAATTTTCATTACACAAAGAGATAGGGATACTGATTCCTCATATTCTCTTCACGCTCCCATGTTGCTTCCTCTACCTTGTGATTCCTCCACAATACTTTGACCAATGGAATATTCTTGTTCCTTAGTTGCTTAATCTCATGAGCTAAGATTCGAACTGGTTCTTCTTCATATGTCAAATCTGGTTGAATCTTGATCTCTTCTGGAGTCATAATATGGGAGGGATCAGATCGATACTTCCGAAGCATTGAGACATGAAAGACATTGTGAATTTTCTCCATTTCAAGTGCAACGCCAGTTGATATGCCACTGGTCCAACTCTCTTTACGATCTCATACGGTCCGATGAATCTAGGACTAAGTTTTCCCTTACGTCCAAACCTCAAAACTATCTTCCATTGAGACACTTTGAGAAACATTTTATCTCCAACTTGATATTCTATCCATTTTCTCTTTAAATATGCGTATGATTTTTTTTTCTATCAACTGCTGCTTTGAGATTATTTTGAGTTACTTGTACCTTTTCTTACACTTTCTCGATCAACTCAAGACCAAGAACTTCTTTATCTTTAAGCTCGAACCAATTTAGAGGCGTACGACATCTTCTTCCGTAAAGAGCTTCATAAGGTGCCATTTTAATACTTGATTGATAACTGTTGCTATATGCAAACTCGGCAAGTGGCAAGTATCTTTCCCATGATCCTTTGAACTCGATAACACAAGCTCTCAACATATCCTCCAAAATTTGGATTGTTCCCTTGGATTGTCCATCGGTTTGAGGATGAAACGCTATACTAAAGTTCAACTGAGTTCCCAACACTTTATGTAATGATTTCCAAAACCGTGAGGTAAATCTATGATCTCAATCTGAAACAATAGAGATAGGTACTCCATGTAGACATATAATCTCCCTGATATACAACTCGGCATACTTATCCATGGTAAAGTCAACTCGTACCGGAATAAAATGAGCTGACTTATTCAATCTATCTACAATCACCCAGATGGAATCTCTTTTATTCAGAGTCAAAGGTAACCTTGTTACAAAATCCATTGTTACATTATCCCATTTCCACTGACGAATAGACATTGGTTGCAATAATCCTGACGGAACCTGTTGCTCAGCTTTGACTTACTGAAACGCCACACTTAGATACAAATTTTGTAATATCCTTCTTCATCCCAGGCCACTAATATCGATTCTTGAGATCCACATACATTTTATTTCCTCTCGGATGCATAGTCAATGGACTACAATGAGCTTCTGTTAACAAGTCTTCCTTCAACTCATCATCATCTGGAATCACTAGTCTCCTCTGATAATATAGGTTCCCGTCAGCTTTTATTTCATAATTCGTAACCTCTTCATTCTTATCTGTTGTAGCTTCTTTGAACACTTTTCATATCTAACCTGCAATTCTTTAATTCGATCTAGCCATGATGGCTTGAGTGTCAATTCCACACATATGGCATCGTCTCCTCTTAACGATAGTCTGGCATCCAAATCTCATAAGGATGCAAACGTTTTTCGACTTAAAGCATCCACTACCACATTCGCTTTCCCTGGATGGAAATCGATCACTACATTATAATCCTTTAATAATTCCACCCATCTTCTCTGTCTTAAATTTAACTCCTTCTGAGTCATCAAATATTTCAAATTCTTATGGTCCGTATACAAATATCATCGTTCACCATACAAGTAGTGACGTCAGATCTTAAGATCGAACACTACCGCAACCATCTCTAGATCATGTGTTGGATAATTCTTCTAATGTGGTTTTAGTTACCTCGAAGCATAGGCCACCACCTTGGCTTCTTGCATTAACACGCATCCCAAACCGTTATGAGACGCATCACTCTACACTACAAAGTTCTTGCCAGACTCGGGTTGAATCAACATTGGAACTTCTGTCAAAATCCTCTTTAGCTTTTCAAAACTCTCTTGGCACTTCGGAGTCCAAGAAAAATTTACCTCTTTCCTTAATAACTTGATTAGGGGTAATGCTATTATCGAAAAGTTTTTAACAAACCTTCGGTAATAGCCAGCTAACCCCAGAAAACTCTGGACATCTAACACATTCTTTGGAACTTCCCACTCTAAAATGGCTTTGATCTTTTGGGGATCCACTCGAATTCCTTCTATAGAATTACATGTCCAAGGAACATCACTTCCTTCAACCAGAATTCACATTTAAGGAGTTTGGCATAAAACTTCTTTTCTCTCAAAATCTGTAAAAATATCTTAAAATATGAACTATGCTCTTCTTATGACTTTGAATACACTAAAATATCATCGATGAACACCACTACGAATCGATCTAAATAGGGTTGGAATATTTTGTTCATAAGATCCATAAAAGCGGCTGGTGTATTTGTAACTCCAAACGGCATTACGATAAACTCATAGTGACCATATCTCATTCTGAATGTCATCTTTGGAATATCTTTATCTTGAATTTTCAATTGATGATAACCAGAACGTAAATCAATTTTCGAAAACACTGAAGCTCCCTTTAACTGATCAAATAAATCATCAATTCTGGGGAGGGGATACTTGTTCTTGATGGTCACTTTATTGAGTTGTCTATAATCAATGCAAAGACGTATGGATCCATAATTCTTTTTGAAGAACAAAACTGGAGCTCCCCATGGTGAGACACTTGGTCTGATTATCCAATAATTCTTGTAATTGGATCTTTAATTCTTGTAACTCTTTTGGGGTCATTCTATATGGTTCTATGGCGATAGGTGCAATTCCTGGCATTACCTCAATCTGAAATTCTACCTCTCTGTCTGGAGGCAAACCCGGTAACTCTATAGGAAAAACGTCAGAAAACTCTCTGACTATAGGAATTTCTTCAATCCCCTTCTATTTAGCTCTCATATCCAGCACACTAGTAATAAACCCTTGACATCCCTACAACAATAACTTCTTTGCCGACATCACTGATATTACATTAGCCAATGGGTTTCATCATTCACTAAATATCATGACTTCTACCCCTTCTAGACTTCTCAACATTACTCTTTTCAGTCTACAGTCAACATTAGCTTAATAATGATACAACAAGTCCATTCCCAGTATCACCTCGAATTCATCAAAAGGTAACTCCATCAGATTAGCAATGAATTCAATTCCCCGAATCCGTATAGGACACCCTCGATATACCATATTGACCCGAGCACTGTGCCCTAACGGATTAGTAAACTATCACCTCGTTGCTAGTATCTTCTAACTGAATATTCAATTCTCTCACTAACTTACTATAAATGTAAGAATAAGTAGACCCTGAATCAATCACTATAAAAACATTATTGCCATACAGTTGAAAGGTAACTGCTATAATCTTCGGGTCATCTCTATCCTTGCTAGTCTTGAGATTATACACCCAAGCTATGGAGTGTATCTCCTGTGGAGTCGAGGACTCTAACTGACTTCTTCCTCTATATCTACCTCTTCCCCTCAGAATAACCGAGGCATACCTCTCTGGTTATATCAATTCACCAGCAATCATAGGACAATCCCGAATAAAATGTCTGGTGTCCCCACATTTAAAACAGGCTCCAGAAATCATTCTACATATCCCCGAATGGTTCCTTCCACAATGTGGACATTGTCTGACTTGGCTCGGGTTAGATCTCCCAGCTCCAGATCCCACTGACTGTGTCTGTCGATCCCTCATCTGATTTGATCCCCTTACAGAATATGCAAATGACTCTGATATCGCTTAGGGTCGAGAACTCACATCTCTTCCCCTTTTTTATGGTACAACACTCGATGATGCGCCCGATATTTTCAAAGTTTGAACTCAGGAATCTCTGAATCTCTCACTTTGAGCTATTTCCAGAGCTTTAGCACGGTTCACCACTTCTTGAAACGAAGATAAATTCGACACAATAAGCATCTCTTTTAAACGAGGACGTAATCCCTCAACAAACCACTCGCAAGCATCCTTCTTTGTAGGAATTAACTCCGCAGTGAATCAACTCAACTTGTTGAATTCACATTCGTACTCATACACTATACGATTCAATTACATCAATTTCATGAACTCTTGCTTCATCTGTCGAATAAACTGATCTTCGATGTATTTATGTTTAAATTCATCTAGAAACAAGGACCATGTTACCTGATCACTAGTCATTCTCAGTGTAACATTTTTCCACCAAATCCTTGCTTACCCTCTAAGCAAGGAAACCACCCCATCTAACTTCTCTGAATTGGAGCAATGAAGTCCCTCCAGCATGATTTTTACATCATTAAGCCAAAGGTCCGCAACAACAGGACCTTCTTCGGCTTCACCTCAAAACTATGGTGCTCCTAAACCCTTCAACTCTTTCGTAACATTCATTCTTGGAGTTGAAGTAACAGAAGGTTGAAAACGCGCCAATACCGTGTCTAGTGTTATGAAGAACACATCTTGATCACTTACAGGCACTCCAGAGGGTGCTGATCTTCACTCTGCCTGGGCAGGTGAATTACTGCTTTCAGCGGGCCTATCATTCACGCTTCACTTCTAGAGCTACCATGTCCAGACATCTATAAAACATAATCATGTCGTTCTATTAGCAAAAGAACATACTTACTATTATATCAGATCATAAGTTTTCACTATTTTGTTGGCATGTATACTTTATAGGACACTCTAGACTCCAGTTTATGCCGAGAATCGACTAAACCGTAGCTCTAATACCATTAAATGTAATACCCCAACCTGTACCTAACCCGAATACGAGTCTGAGGTGTCACATTGACTTTTCAAACTTTGACTCTTGCCAAAATTCAAGGAAAATTTAAAACTTTCATTAAAATAAAGGTAATCTATTTACATAAATTGACCAAAATAACCAAAATCGATCAGAGCATTTATAAGTGACACTTTTCTTACATGCCAATACACTATACATGACAAAATACATACTTTATCAGTTACTTCTTATCTGATCTTCTAGCAGTGCTGTTGTTCTTGCCACCCTATTTCTGCTCTTCCTGATTCTTGGTACCTACGTGTAAATCACTTACACGCTAGGTCACAGACTTGGTGAGGTATAAATAAACATATACCAATAATATCACGAACATGCATTTCTATCAATCCACTAGGACATTGCGATGCACATGTAAATACCACATTATGACATATGAGTAGGATATGCATGAATAAACAATTATGTTTCATAAGAATTTCCTTTAGTTTATCTTTGGATTGCCCATGTACATTATTGAGAATAGAAGGTATGCGAGTACACTGAGGTTGTGACAATGTTGTCACCACAGCTCGAATAAAATCCCACTAGGGGCACTGAATATTTGTCCCGAAGGACCACTATGTCCCGAAGGACTACTGATAATCCTTCGATTCGTGGCATGCCAATTATACTTACAGCTCTCATATTAAATAACACGAGCTTAATTATAAATACATTTTTCATTTCATATCTCTTTTATCACTGTCCATATAAACACATATGTCACTTCATATGATCATTTTCATTATTTCACATACCTGGGAGGATTCTCTGATAATAGAACTTGTTCATACAATATCATGTTAAATCATGAATGAATTATGCATGGAATCACTATAAC